TATATATATATATATACTATATATATATATATATATATATATATATATATATATATATATATATATATATATATATATATATATATATATATATATATATATATATATATATATATATGTTAGAAATTTACGTAAATATGTATTATTGTGTTTTTTTCTTAAACAATTTCTATGTAAAACCGAAAATTGCATTTTTGTTTGAGGCTTACACATTTATTTTTATATAAAAAAATTAAAAAAGTTCGTAACAAATATTTCTAAATTCGTAATCAACCAGGTACGCCGTTATCTTGGGAGGCCAAAACTGGCTTCAAAAAATTTGTCGAATACGCTATCCAGTTATATTTTGAGATCAGTGATTGGTATACTGCTCTCTATTAATTTTAGATTGTTCTGTTCTTAAAGTATTTATTTCAATTTCCATATACTTCAGTTTATCTTAAAATAATTCTTTGGTATCATTTTAATCATTTTTATTAGGACTACCTACATTTTTTTTAGATTCTTTTCCGTCTTGCGTTGAACAAATTAAAATGTTTTTGAGACAAAATGTGAAAGAAAATTGCCAACAATCACTTTTTCAACTTTGATTTTAAAATGTAAAGATTCTTCAGAAAATAAGCTGTTAATATTCGCTCGTTTCTTTTGTTTTTGAATTTGAAAGACAACATTTTTGAAAATATAATTAAACTTCACATTAGTGTTACAAAATTCATAAAGAAAATTTTCAAAATCTCTAAAATATTTTGATAATTCAGGTAAAATAATGTTATCCATATCTTGTGACAAAACATCAGCCATCTTTATACCGTTGTGTTAATCCTGTGCACGGTGCGCGGCAATAAAACAAAAATAATGTCTTCTTCTTGCTCCACTATCAGATTCATTGAAAGTCAATGTAGACTGTAATATAAATTTAACGGCATAATATAAAAATCTAAAAAATGTGCTGTTTGTGACAAATGTAATTCGAGTGTGGCGGAAATAAAAAAAAAGACACTCTGCCTCAAATAGAAACATTATGTTGATTGTTTTTTCAAAAAATTGAATCTACTGGTTTAGCTCTTGATTTAGAGAAACTGATTGGCCCACATCAAATTCGATCAGCCGCAAATATTGCCAGATTGCAGGAAAGTGGTTTGACGTCGATCCCTCCAACTTGGCTTATCTACAAATTTAATGAAACGAACTTTGAAACAGGACCGCGAAAATATGTATAAGGCTCGTTTCAAACCTGGATCTTCTGCTTATAAAGCAAGCGCTCTAATAACTGCGCCACGGCCGTACTTTGTTGTTCTTTATTACAACCCAGCCGGCACTACTCAGAAAATAGTTACGCTTGGTTTCTGTTGCGTTTTTAAAACCTTCTAAAACAAATAGAATAAGACGTGTCAAAAATGGTTTTTATTCCGTCAAGATAATTATTACTATTTACCATAAATACCAGTTAAAATATCAATGGTATCACGGTTATGGAAACGTAGTATTATATTATAATAACTTTCCGAAAGGAATGTGAAACCACTGATAAAAGCATGCGACATTTAAATTTGACTTTAAAACCTCAAAAAATACGTGTTAAACTGTAGTAAAACTGCCCGTAATATACACGTGTTTTTGGTTTACGCCTGGATCGTGACAAACACGTGTCTATACAAGTTTTAATTCCGAAAAAGAAACTAGATGTGCCGGTAGGGAATATTTAAAATACAAATATATGGAAAAAAAAAACAAAAGATGAAGATATCATTAAAAAGTAAATAATAAAACTAAAAGAACGCGGATGCGCAAAGAAGACCATTAAGTCTTGTCACTGAGAACCGCTGTTAAAGAAATTAAACAGAAAAAAAAATGTTAATTTTTCTTTTGTTTTGATGTTTTTGACTTCCATCAAATTTACTTAGACTTTTAAACCACAGACTTCTGTGAACAGCAACAATTTTAAATAATAATTTTCCATTTAATTAAAATTTTCCATATTTTTTAAACACACTTTTTCGATCATTGATTCTTATTTATTATATTATTATTAAGTAACAAAATTTAATTAAAAACTTCCTTGGGATGTAGTTTTTTTTTTTTTTAATTGAAATAAATAAAATATTTTAGCTACATCCATCAAAGGAGTTTTCCTTTAAATGTATGTTTTTTTTTTAACTGACACAAACAACAAAATGGAAAGCTTTCGTTTGAATACAAAAAAATGCAATCTGATTCCATAATGTTAGCGGTTTACCAGGCGTTTAAATCATATAGTGCAGTCGTTGCGAAATTAACAGCCAAAGATGGTTTACTTTTTTTTATGTTATACTTAAGTGTAAATATAACACCGTGACACAGTGGTTATAGCGCTTGCTTTAGAAGTGAGTTATAGGAATATTTTGAGACACCATTAAGCAAAGAGGTGAACTTTGTAGTAAAATGCTCTTCCGCGGCTCTGTGACAGGACCACTTTGGTCTTCTTAGGGTACCTAAAACAAATAATTTCCGCCGAACTAAAAACTCCAATCAATCAAGGTATATGGTAGAAGAAGTCTAATGTGATTAGTAGACATGTGCATACCTTTAACAAATTTTTTAACTTCGTTTTTGCTTGAGTTCACGGATCAATGCCATCTGATAAATGTATTTTGGAGAAAAAAAGTTAAAACATTTGATATTTTGTTGTACAATTTTGTTTCAATTAAGATGGAGCATCGATAATAAAGAAAGTAAGAAAGTTAATTAATGTGTCAAATCATTAACCAAAACCATCAATTGTGTCAAATCATCAAGCAAAAAAATTTCTCACTGGTGATAATCATCATCATGCGAACAATCTAAAAAAGGGGTTTGGCGATAAAACATACTAAATTATCTGCTTGTTCCTGCTATGTGAATATGCTAATGCTATCCAGTGATTGACAGAGGAATTTTTGGTGGGGGTGTTGAAATATTTTCGGATTTTGTACTACATTTAAGTCTCCCATAAAAAAATCAAATGTCTTCAATTTCTTAGATATTTTAGGACTTTCAGATTTTGGTGGGAGGAGATGCTCCATCCCACCCGGATCCGTCACTGATTATATCTTACGTAATGCATATTTACACGGCAAAACAAAAAAAGGCGTAAGAAAGTAGACGTCTTTTGAAAAATTACAAGACTTTTGTTTCTTCTTATTGTAAATTGATTTACTTTTTAAATTTCAAAAACTATTTTAACGGTTTTTAATATGTTCATACTTCTTGCTTAAAAAGTTGACGCTATTTAGCAACAATATATATATATATATATATATATATATATATATATATATATATATATATATATATATATATATATATATATATATATATATATATATATCCGACTCCAACTCCAACTTCAAAGCAGAATTTTTGAAAAATTCTTTGAATTTTTAAAAAAATATTACGCAATACTTTAATTTTTTTTTTTTTGTGCAAAATATATAAAAAGCTCTTTAAAGGTTAAATATTTTGTACATACACGTGTAATACTGAGAAGTTTTACTATTGGATTCGGAGTCGCAATTTTGTTAAGCAACTCCGACTCCGATTCCAACTCCGCTAAAAATGTCGTAACTCCGGCTCCACGACTTCGACTCCGACTCCACAGCTCTGTTTTCTACAATTTTCTACATTTTCATGTGTTTATTTAAAATGAATACTGTTAACCGGGAAAAATATTTTTTCAAATGATAATTAATGAAAAAAATATTATAAAATTGAAAAAATCAAATTTATGTAACACAAACAGCGGACCGGAACAAACTTAAAGGCGTGCTTACTAAAAAGTATTACCAATCACCTATCAAAAGGTAAGAAAACAATTTAGTAAAATCTAGTACGCAAAAAAACACTTTGAATGAGTGACGTAACTTAGAAAAATATTGAATAAATAAATTACTTTGTTGGTGGTTGCTTATATAATAAACAATTTTCAAAAACATAAAACAAGATTAGTTTTTTAAATTCATTGATTAAATTTTAAAACTAAAACTAGCTTAATTTATTAGATAATAGTTAAAATATTGTATTTTATTTATTAATAAATGTCGGTTTAAAGTTACACCCACTTGTTTAAACTAACGTCAAGTTAATTTAAACGAGTGTAATTTGTTCTACGCTATTTTAAGTACTATCAACTTCCCCCCCCCCCACCTCGCAAATGGCTATACGCTATTTGGAGTACTCTCTTCTTCCCTAAAAGTACCTACATTTTTAACCTACCAACCTAACATTTAATGATATTTTTTTAATTTTGTGTCTCCATACTTTTATAATTGACCTACTGCTCACTTATCTCAGAAACGCCATTTGCAGACCCCCTCTTCTTCTCCAAGCGTACGTACTTTATGGACCCTTATGTAAAATATTTTAATACATTTTTTTCTTTTTTATAACATTCAATCTAGAACATTAAATATGTTATTTTTCACTGTATAACGTTTTATATATAAAAAAATATTGGGGTAGAAGAAAAATTTTTATGAGTTGCGCACTTAAATCAAGTAAAATTTATTTTATCAGCAACCTTATTTTAACTTTTGGCTAGTCAAACCTTGTTTTTGGAAATTAATTAGAAAAAAGTTAATTAAGTCAAATAAAAACTGAAACTACCAATTACAAAAACTCTTTTTTTTTTCTAGTTACCAAGGTGTTCCCAGAAGTTCTTACAGCTTTATCACAGAGCACCGCGAAAGAGCATTTAACCAGGACGTTCACGCCTCCTTCCTTACCGATTTCGCTTCTTGGACTAGATTCTGATTCGAACTCTAAGCACTAAGCCAGGGCTGCACGAATTAGTTGTTTTAATAATTAAAATGTTACATTATAAAAAGCTCTTTAATTTTTTTTTTACATTGATAGTATTGATAATAGAAACGTACGTGTGCATTGAAACAAACGCATTTAAAATTTTGTGGGAAATTCCCCGGGAATTTTCGGATAGTTTCTTACTTCAAAAATACTATAAACTTTGAGATCATAGATAAGTTCTATGTAAGTCAATTTAGAATTATTAACACAGTAAAAGTCTAAAGTGGCAACACTCTATAAACAAGAAAGTATGACTAAGACAAATTTATTGGATTTAGTCAAGACGAAAGTTTAGGTATTTTAAAAAATACTCAAAACTTACTCTTTTAAGAGAGAAAAATAGGTTTGCTATTGTTTGCAATAAGTTTTAAATTTTAATTAGAGCTAGACATTTTTAAAGGTAAAAAAAGAACAATACAAACTCGCCAAGAACTTCTTAGTGAGGAGAAAAGCATGCCAGTAAAAAAGACGGTTTTCAACCTGTTTTCAACTTACTTACTTGTTATATTTATACTAAAGTAATGCGCAGAGAAAACACGTGAAATATTTTTTATTTAGGGCCAATAAATCAACTCTGTGACATTTCAAAATTTAAACCATTTTAAGTTTTACCTAAATCTCAAATTTCAACTTGGAAGAAAACCGGTAGTTCTAACAAAACCAGCGGAAACTTTTAAAGGTAAACTTATGTTTATAACGTTACTATTTTGTTTGACGTGCGCAACATGTACTTTTTTAAAATATGTTTATCTTCAAGGTTGGCTACATGCACGGTCAAAATACCATATTACATCAATGAGAAAAAAACTTGACTTGACTTCATCTAAAAGAAGACAAAACTCTAAATGAAGAAGTTTAGAAAGTGATCAGCGTTGATGATGAAATAGAAAACTTGTTTTGTTGCTTACTGAGGACTATATGTATTAGAACTTTTATTTTATAAAAATTTTATTATATTGCTATTCTTGCAAATGGATGGAATAGGCCATCTCTGATTCAAAATTGAATTCGCAAGTTTCCGAAACTTCTACAGCCCTAAACACAATTGGTGTACCCCATAAAGACCAATTAATTAGCCAGTTTAAATTGTGAAAGCTGAATAATGATTTAATTGCTGATTGCTTTCATAAAATAACCTGTAACAGTGTCTAGAGAGCGGAACATGATTGTTTAATAGAGAAGTATATTGATTATGCTTTATGGATTGCTTGACGTTATCACATTTTTGAGTTGCAAATTAAAAAGTTTGAGAAGCATTTATTGGTAATCACAATGTTTAGTTGAGCCACAACTAAAAACATACCAGGCCAAGGAATCTATTTGTCATGAAACAACAGATGTTATCAAGTTTGAATGTCCTGTATACAAAAAAGACCCAATCAATAATCAATCAACTCTTTCATTGAAATGCTTACAATTGCTTACAAAAAAATGCATTAAGAATTTATTGACCTATCAATGTTTATCTTAGCGGAGAATTACAAGGTAAAGGAATTTTTTGGTTTAAGACTCCAGCGCTTCCTATTGTGCAAGAATCTTGAGCTATAACTAAGTACGTAACATTGGACTAATAAACTAAATTGCTTAATCGTCCATTTTCAAACGGACTAACGCTGAAATGTCTAGAGAACGTCAGATTTCATTGCACTGTTTCAAGCAAATGCTTTACTGTAAAGTCAAACCCTCATAACTGTAGCATGTGTCAACTTTCTAATATGTCACTGGCTTGAATTGGTTTTGCAAATTTTAGGGTAAGAAAACAAATACAGCAAATTTCAATCATCTTTGTTATGAGCATTTATTAACTTTTACTCGATAGATAGTTGAGTTTATCATTCATTTTGATTAATGAATCTGTTAAGCAAACGTGCAATTAGCAGCCGATTTGATATTAACAATATACAATAAAAGAAACAAAAAAAAACCTAATCAACATATTATATTCTATTTTTTATTGTTTTAACCAATTGTAAACATAATTTTTGTTCTGCACGACCCCTAACAATTTTTATTTTAGTCCAGTTTTTTAATCTACAATACTTTAAGTAGTGAAAAATGGGACAAAAATTTTTTTAGCATATATTTAAAAAAACCTAAGCTGTAATTTTTTAAATATAATAAATAAACAATGGGATGAACATTTGCAACAAATAAATAAATAGCACGCTTGCCTCAGAAGCTAGAGATTCGTGATTCAACGCCACCACTGTGGAAGATTTAAAATATCGTTAAGGAAGAAGGCGTGAAATTCTTTTCAAATGCTCTTTCGTGGTATCCTATAATAAGGCCGTAAATACTTCTTGGGGCACTTAAAGTTATAAATAAATAACTATGATATCAAACTAATGCTCTAATAAAAAATAAGTTTTAGTATTTTAGATTAAATATGACTTATAAAACTTATTGGGAATTTTTTCCTTAACAATTGTCTTAACTTAAAAGCATACTTAATTAGTTTAACTTTTCTGGGATAGTACCGCATTTAAAAAAATATAAACCACTTTGTTCAATTTAACCAATTTCGCAAAAAATCAACTTTCTAGTACCAACAAGATCAAGCACAAACTGAACTTGAATGCAAAGAAAGCGAACGCTGTTTAACTAAGAATTAGAAAATAACAGACTGCATTAAAAAAAATTTATCTTTGAATAGAAATCTAAACTCAGAATCTGCCAGTCATACAGCTCATTCTAGCCTACTGAAGATTTCTTTAGACTTTTTTAATGTGAAACATATTAGAAATTATAAAGCATAAACGTAAGTAAAGCCTAAACATCAGTTTTCAAAAAATTTTGTATTTAAATATTCAAGCAAAATCTTATTTAATGTTTAAGTTTTCATTTGTTTTTAAAGTAGGAAATTATCACACTATTTTTTTAAAAAATTAAAAAAATATTAATATTTACAGAATCTTTTACAAAAATACCGCACTTATATTGTTGGTTTCATATCCTTATGGGATGTGTTTAGCGGTATTATAGTTTTTTCTTAACAAGGTGGGTTTAATTTGTTTTGTCTTGGCAGGGTTGATTTAAATTGTTTTTATTATTTGCTTCTTCTGATTTATGTTTGTTCCTTGTCTCATTTTTTTGGATAAATCAAATAAATATTGATATTTTATAAAAGGGCACACTCTTTCTTATCCTAGTTTGTATAAGAATACAAAAACAATTAACGCCTCGCCAAGTTTTTAAACAAGTCACGATTCTCAATTTTTAATTATAGCTGTAACGCATTTTTTTTTTTTTAATTAAAAAAAAAGTGACAATGCTTAAACTTTTTGTTTCTCGCAAGACACGATATTTAAATTCCGAGTGATTAAGCCTAATGTTACGGGTGAATGTTACGGGATTAGCGCTACTTTATAATACTTAAATGCTTTATGATAAACAAATAGCAAAAAATTTTAAACATTTTTCTTATTTACACAATGTATATATATATATATATATATATATACATATATATATATATATATATATATATATATATATATATATATATATATATATATATATATATATATATATATATATATATATATATATATATATATATATATATATATATATATATATATATATATATATATATATATATATATATATATATATATATATATATATATATATATAAGCTTAACGGAGCGTTTGTCAAAAATTTCATACAACATTTTTAAGTAAAGGAATGACAAAAACTTTATTTAAATTTGTTTAAATAAAACTAATACTAAATAAAACAATTTTATTTAAAAAACTATATTTTTAAAGAATTTTTTTTAATAATATAGTTTGAAAGAACTTTTTGACAAACGCTCCGTTAAGCTTATCGGAGAGATGAGTATACGGCCACAGGATATCTAAATTCAATTATTAGCATCATTTTAGATTTATGAAGGGGATCAACAGCGAAACTTTGTTTTAATATTAAAGCTTTAATTAATCAAATATTTATGAAGTTAAAAGTAAACTTCTAAAACATAAAAAATTTATTTAAGTCAATAAAAATAAAGTAATATTATTACATTTTTCAATACAATCTTTTATTATTATCTTTAGGCCTAAGGCCGGCGCGATAGGGGGTGTGGGGGTGTGATACCCCCACCCCCATCAATGATTTTAAGTCGGCAAACTGGACCCTTAGTCGGCAAATTGGACCCTTTTAGACTAGTTAGTCGGAAAATGTCGATCCTTTCGATTGAGGTTAGACAGTCGGCAAATGTTGTCATGACAGTCGGCAAATTTGGGAAAACGAGGACCTTTTTTTTTTTTTTTTATTTTTAGTCGGCAAAAGTTGTTATGGCACCCCCCACGTGACACCTACTCGCCGGCCCTGTATATATATATATATATGTATACATATATATATATATATATATATATATATATATATATATATATATATATATATATATATATATATATATATATATATATATATATATATATATATATATATATATATATAAATATATATATATATATATATATATAAATATATATATATATATATATATATATATATATATATATATATATATATATATATATATATATATATATATATATATATATATATATATATATATATATATATATATATATATATATATATATATATATGAGGAATAGATAGCATTACCAATCAGAATTTTGTTGTACTCTTTAATCATAAAAATTTGGAGTCGCATAAAAAAAAGTCATTTTTTCGCATAAAAAAAAAGTCTTTATACACTGCTTTAACAAATTTTTTCATTTTTTAAATTCAAAATTAATTTTTTTTTTGTCTGGAGTTTGTACCTTATTGAAAGTTCAATTTTCAGTTTAAGTATAATTTTTTTTTTGAAATACTTCATTTAATATTTTATTTAAAAAATTAAACATCTTTTAAAATATTTATTATTTTTACACCAATGTAGTAGAAACCCTAGTTAATAGTACTACTAACATATCCTGAAAATTTGAAGTCAATAGCATTTGTTAATAATAACTTCATTAACCGCTACAGAATGTTAAAAATTCATTTGGGACAACATTAGATATAATAGTCGTTACATTGTGTTTACACATAAACAAGCAAAAAAAAAAAGTATGATATAATTTTTTTTTTGTGCTGAAATCTTAAGAAAGAAATAAACATTTTTTTATAAATCTAAATAATAACTTTAATTTTCCGTTTAGAAACATATTGAGGGCTAAAGAAGAGTTAGAGAGAAGTGATTATGTTTTTTTAAGCAATAAGTTTTATCGATTAACGATTGTTTTTCTAATTATTATTTATTAATCTAATTAAACATTTTTATGAGGATAAAAAATTTTAAAGTAATACAGAGTTTTACTAACACAGGATTATGTATTATTGATTATATGTATTTTTCTTTAAATCTACGTTTACATATGCATATAAATATATTTTTTTTAATATTGTTTATAAGAATTGAAGTTATTCGTATTTTTTTTTTATGTAGTATTAAATATTCATGATTTTTTAAACCATACTTTCATTCTATTCTTTTATTTTTAGATTGTTTTAAGAAAGTCAATCCGCCACTGTAATAACAAAAAATATTGTGTTCATTTTGTATGTCAATATCAGTGATGATGAGTTGGATAACAGAATCAGCAAAACATGTGAAACAGAAGATTTTAACCAAGAAGTAAAGGTGACAATAAGCTATATGATCAAAATTATGATGTCCTTGAATTACCTGTAGTAATGGACACTACAGTTACTTAGTGTGTTATTTAGTTATGAAATTTACTGAACAGCTATAATTTAGTATTTGGAGAATGAAACTTAAAAGGTAAATCAGTACCTTCTCATTCTGTTGGTTAAGAAAAAGCTACTGCCGAAATTTTTTTAAGTAACAAATCATTAATTGTAACTGCGTGCTTTGATAATAAAGGGGTTTTAGTGATATAATTTTTTTTTTGGAAAAGACCCACAAAGAAAATGTGAACGGTTTGATTGCAAATTGAAAACTAAACAACAAATGTAAATGTATCACAACCTGCTGCTGCCTAGTTGTACAACTCATACAAGGAAGGAATCAATAAAGCAGACACGTTTTTCTTTGTTTCGCACTAAATACCCATCCAGAATATGACATCAGCAAATTGTCTTTCGACTCATCAGTCAGTTTTCTGTCATTGCATGGATTATTTGTTATCAAAATAGAAGAAATGATAATTTTCTAAACTATTAATTTGTGTCTGTATACTACTTATCAACCCACTAAGAGACAAGCTCGAGTTCTGCTCACAAGAGCGAATCAATGGAAATAGCATTCCTGCGAATGGAAGAATTAGTTGAATCTAAAGAACATACCAGATCCAATGGAGTGTTAGCAAAACGGTTGCAAAAAGTATCAATTCAATGAATTCAAAGTTTATTTATGTGTAAACCAACATACGTGTTTTGGTGATTTTTATGGAGATGCTTTATTCTGTATTTTCACCAACTTAAGCAAAAGATGTACTATGCAAATTTTTGTAATTACTGTTTATATTTTTTTGTGAGCTTTACCTGTTTTATTGATGAAGGAAAACTCGATACAGAGTATTTTGAACTACATTTGGTATTTTATGTCCACAGTGTATAATTTCCAGAAAAACGGAAAAACTTTTTCAGGAAACTGTAGTCAGTTATTTAAAAAAATTAATACTATAAAAAAATTTTTATACCATGTGTCAGCATTATTTATGTTAAGTTTTATTAGAAATGGTTAAGTTGTTAGTATTTTATGCATAAAAGTGTTTATGCTAGAATTTTAATTTTACTGAATATCGAAAATTTAACAAGGTCCTTACAGTAAAGATGAAAGTTCGTACAGTGTAGATAGATGTCCTTACAGTACCTTACTCGTTAGAGAGGTATAGTTTTAACAAGACAGATTAAAGTGGTCAGATGCATACGTTTTATGTTTTATTTATAATTTATATGCTTTAAAAAAATTTAGCATTTATGATATAAAAACACAATATTTAATAATTTTTTGATAACTTTTAGTTTACTGCAATGAACATATTTAAAAACTGATTCTTTTGAAAACTAACTGGTTTAAGTACTGCTCTAACGTTTTCACATGGAATGCGCTTTTCCAAGCAGTAGTGAACACTCCATCTATTTATGCTTTCAAAAACAGTATAACAAAGTAACTTTTAGAGACATAACTGCTGCTTTGTCTGTAGCTTCTGTGTTTTTTATTTTCGTCAGCATAGAGGGGCCTGGTGTAGCAACTCTTCATCAAACTTTAAACAGATTTATTGTATTTGTTTTTTGTTTTTTTGTTCACTGAATAATAATAATAATAACATTTGAATCAAAATCAATTATTATTCGATAATTTTGAACCTCTTAATTAATTATATTAAATTAAGATTCTATTCAAACTAAATTAATATTCTATTCAAAGCCAATTACACAGTTGGCACATCTAGTTTCACTTTCAGAATTTACCTGTATAGACACGCTTTCTCACAATCCAGGCGTAATCCAAAACCACATGTATTTC